ATATCAAATTATGAAACTTCAACATTTAAATTAATAATCATTTATGAAACAAAACCTGAATTACCTGAACATTATGTTCTGTAATGATTAATACTGAAGTGTAAAAAAAACCCAATAAGGGTACTTAAAGTTTCATAACTAAGATCAGTAATGTTAATTTCTACCTTATCTTGGTCTCGTTCTATAAAATTACTAGTAAACATTCTATCAAAATAGTCACTATTAGAAGCTAAAACATTTTTGTGAGCAGTTAATTTTTGATTATTAACCATCAATGTTATATCTTTATCCTTGGTACTACTGTCACTGAAATTCAAAATAACAAATAATTTATACTAATTCACAAAAATTATTTTTAAAACACTTAAAGAAGTCTTGTAATTTACTAAATATAAAAACAGTATATCATAAACATTTTAAAATACATACACTATTACATTATTTAAGTCAGTTAAAGATGAATTACACATTTTTGTTCGTTTAAAAGTGACACATTTGGATGTTAAAACAATTCCATTTATCTCATCTGAAGGCCTAAAATAAGTGAAAATATAATGAATAAAATGTATTAAAATTTTGAATAAAAATTTATATTAACATGACTTTTATAAAAAACAACAATACCAACATACTAAAACAATATATTATATAGATGTAAAACATATTTTGCTATTTAAATTATTAGATCTATGTACACCTATTTTATAAAATAACTAGCATTACATATAATTTATAGTATAAGCAGTTTAAAAACCTTAAACATAATGTATTATTAAAACTTTGAATATTATAAATAATTAGTATACTAAATATACATACACAATGCAACCATAAGATCATCAGTTAAATTTCAAAAAAATATCAAAAAGTTTTAGAAAAAAAGTTTATGAAATTACTTATTGAAGTTTAATGGAACTGTTGGTTCATTTGATGTCTCCATTTCAGATGTTCTAGAAAAAGTTGTCAACAATTAACAGCCGCAAACCAAAATATTATAAATTAAAGAAACGATAGGTTATAGTTAGATGGTTAACTACTAGTTTATAAACCCGTATTGAACAGCACGTTACTACATTTTAATAAATTTCCAATTTGAAAATGGATTGAATTATTATGGCGATAATATTCTTCTTTTTATTGACACACAAGAGCGACTAATGCCCGCCTAATAGATAATATATTGTCAGACGCAAAGACCGCAAATACCGTTATCAGTACTAATCGCCCAAACATACGTTTTATTGGTTACATTCAAGAGCGTCTAGAAACAGCGCCTCTTATCTGCACTATTATTATCAGTATTACACTATCACTACAGTTGCCTTATCACATAATCAGTTGATTACATTTAAATATTATATTTAAACAAACAGCCATAGTATTATATTAATTGTAATATATTAATTATTTAGTATAATTAATTTATATAGTACAAACTACAATGTCATCAAGTGCATAATTAGAAATGTTATATATGTCTTTTCATGTTGTAATATTTTTTTTTCAATATTATAATCAGTTTCATTTCGTAACTGATCAATTATTACATTTGGCGGGATTCCACTTTTAATTTTACCTATAATTATAATAATAAGTACATATTATATAGGTGTAATTTCAAAATATAATTTAGTACTTTAGTTTCCTAAGTAATTGAATATAATACTTACAAGATTCACTCTACAGTACATTTTAATTAAATATAGATATCTTACACAGTTTAGTTTTGTAGTCTTGTGAAAAGTACTTTTATTTTGTATTCAAATACTATTAGATTATTAGAATATAATATTTTTTGCCCCGCTAATATTTGTCAGTTTTGGATTGGGTGGTAATAAGTATATGAGAGAATACGTATTCAAATAATTTACAAATACTTTACAAACAAGACTGGTTTTACATATTATTATGAATTTTTTAAATCATTACCTTGAAGAGAACAAAATTTTAAATTTATTACTTCTCATTCTTCACTTGATGACATTGTAGTTTGTACTATATAAATTAATAATACTAAATAATTAATATATTACAATTAATATAATTATTAAATAATATAGTATTATGGCTGTTTGTTTAAATATAATACTTAAATGTAATCAACCGATTATATGATAAGGCAACTATAGTGATAGAGTAATACTGATAATAATAGTGCAGATAAGAGGCGCTGTCTCTAGACGCTCGTGTTAAACCTCGATTACATTGAGCGATTTTACCAGCGATTAAAGTCGCGCCCGTGTGAGCGTGTAGCAACTTGTCCGATTACATTGAGCGATTAAATTCGCTCGTTCGCTAGTCGCGTACACGCATTTATGTGATATACATGTAAAAGAAAGTTGTCATTGATATAGATAACTCATTCGTTTTCGTATATATTTTAAATTGTATTATTTATTAATTATTTATTATTATTTATTTAACTGGGCCCCGTTCATCCTTAGAATATTTTGATAGGCTGCAAAGTCTTCGTGTTTTAGTTCTTTTAATAATTTATTGGATGCACCATATTTCTCTCGTTTTGAAATCCAACTTCTGATCCATAACCTTTTCTTTTTATACTTTTTCTTTTCCAACTCTTGTCGTAATAAATGAAAAATCACAATAAATCCCGCGCGAACTACAGTTTCCGACATTTTGACCAGTCACTAATCGCTGGCACACTAGCGATTTCACCAGCTAGGACGATTACATTGAGCGATTTTACTCGTTGGAGTGTAAAAACGTCAGTGACTAGCGACTAAAGTAACCCGGCCGTTAACATAAATCGCAAGCGAGAAGCGAGTATTCAACACGCGGCGAGTAAGCGACTAAGCTGATTAAATTGAGCGACTTTAGTCACAGCGAGTTAATTCGCCGGTGCCTAGCATGTAAACTCGCTCAGTGTAATCGAGGCTTTACATTTTCATCAAGTTTAATCGTTATCACGGTCTTATATCTTTTATATAGATAAGAAAGAAAAAGTTTCTTCATTATCTGTGATTCAATACAACCCTCAAACAATTACTTAGGAATCATTCTAGATAAGCGCCTCACATGGGCACAACATACCAAATTCAAGCGCAAGCAGGCAAACATACGTCTCCATCTACTTAGACCACTTCTCAAATCCAAAATGTTACTCAAATTCAAAACTCTTATATATAATGCTATAATTAGACCAGTCTGGTCATATGGCATACAAATTTGGGGTCCCGCAAGACCCTCTAATATACGACCCATCCATGCTTTTCAGTCTATTAGTCTAGACTCATAACTGGAGCCCCGTGGTTCATCACAAATGAATCTCTTCACAAATATCTAAAAATATATTACAAACGTTTCCACACCAAATTAATAAGTCACCCAAATTCTCTCATCTGAAATATGTCATCCATATCTCTCCCTGGTAATGTTAAATGTCGGCTAAAAAGGAATTGCTCAAGAGATTTACTTTATTAATTATATTATATACATACATACATACATATATATATATATATATATATATACATTAACATGCAATAAAATAAAAAAAAAATTAAAAAAAAAGTATTCTGAGGTATTGTTAATGAAAAATTTCCTACTCACGTTAATCCTGTTATTGTTATATATTATTTTATCAAATTTACTTATTGTTTTAAATAACAGATTGTATATATTTCTTTGAAAAAAAAAAAAATAAATAAATAAATAAATCTATGATCTTTTAAGATCGTGAACGGTATGCTGCAACTATATTATTCCATAGTATCACATAAATATTTAATATATTATCATTGATTGTAAATACTTATACTTTCAAGTTAAAATCAATAGAAGTTAAATTAAAATAGAAATGTTGTGTCCCTCTGTCGAGCTGCATTCAATTATAACGTGGAAATCGATTACATTTCACAGCAAATCGTTGCTATGGAACAATGAACGCTGTGTGCAGGGGCGCAATTTCAATAAAAAAAACTGGGGGTGCTAAAGCCCTTCTATATTTTTCATGTTCCTTAATGGTTATATACAGTGGCGTATTTTCAATTTTTTTCTGAGGGGGTCCACAGTTTATACATAATTAATATAAACTATATATTATATTGTAATAGTAACGTTCTTATGCAGTTTTTGGAGGAAGTTGAACTAAATATATAATGTAATAACTGTATAGTCTTATGTAATATTATATATAAGTACCTATATATTGTATTTAGTACTATATATTATAAATTATTGTTATAAAATAAATTCTAATCGTCTCGATTTTTCTCCAACTTCTTTATCACTTCATCAACAGTAATTTTAACTTCCCTGTGAATGTTTAACATAGCCAATTCTGCAAATATGTAAGAATTTTGATTTATTTTTTATTTTTTGGAGAGTTTCTCTCCAAAACGTTAATATATAATGAAGAAAAATACGGCAGGCTTAACGAAATTGGCTCCCCTTCAAATAAAGTATAAATACATATAATATGTCAATATATACCTGTATAGGCTATAATTATTTGAGTTTTGAAATTTGTTCAACAATCGATCAAGATAGTTATAGTGCTTACATTTTGATGAAAGTTTGATACATTTGAAAAAATAAAATTTTTTTAAAATTTTTTAAATATATAGGTATTCATTAAAAAATGTATATTTTATTTATTTGGTCAAAAAACATGTTTGATTTATATGTACTTTTCTTTAAATATTTTATTATATTATATTCAATTTATCTATAGAAAAATATATTTACCATTCAAAAATTCTTCTAGACTTCCATTTAGGAGCTCATTTTAATTATTAAATAATAAACATATGGAATAGTTCTTAAGCCAAGGAGTTAATAATAATATTTTTATGGTAGTTTTTAGTAATAAAAAAAAATTATAAAATATAAATTATAAAAAAGTTAGTTAAATCTCCAATTACTACAACAGTATTTAAAAAAAAAAAAAAATTAACGCCTTATATTACAACTAGAGAGCAGTAATGTTTATACATTTACCAACATAGGTTGTATCATGTTATGTTGTATTTACGGAAATGTTATTTAAATACTATACATAACTAGTTCACTTCCACAATCGTTGCAGTATTATTCTTATACTTTACTTGTGTATTTAATATTCTTGATTAGATCAGAATTGATGTTTAATTTGCATTTTCTAATCAAATCTTGATCATATTTTTAACAGAATTAAAAATGTCATCTTTAAAAGTATCATCTTTGTTGACAAAGTCAAGTGAGTAGTTTTTTATTCCGTGATCCCTAGTTAAGGTCAAATTAATTAAATTAGATCATTTTATTTGAAAATATATGTATGTGTTGTGTAGGAGGAATAAAATTTTCAGTGGATTTTCTTTTGAAAAGGTCAATAGCATCATTATCATCCTTGTCAGAGACACATCGATTATTATATAAAACATGTAGAGATTTTGCTGAAGGAGAATTAAAACCAATTGCAGCTAAATTAGACAAGGAACATTTGTTTCCCAAAAAACAGGTTTGTAGTTTGTTGATTATAATAAAAATGGTTTTTATAATAACTATTTAAGAAATATAATTGTAAATTATTTTGTCTTATTGCAAACCTTACTTAATATGTACACCTTTGTCTTTATTAAATTTCTCTTGATTAAAATGTATTAGAGTACCAATTAATAAAATAATGTGGAACTAAATTATATTATCATTTATTTTTGACACAGTTATATAATAAATAATTTCTGCTACTCATGAACAAACAAATATTTTGTACTAATAAACAACCATTTATCATTATAGTTATGTAACGTTAAATTATACTATACCAGAATAAATATAACTAAATAAATTACATGTTCATGTTTTATTATTACATAGAGTTAAAATAGTATTTAATAAAATTCAAAGGTTATTTATAATGTATTTTTAAGTACATCATAATTAAAGTCATCATTTTATTTTATTCCTACATATTTTAAATACTATGAAGTTTATATTTTTATATTTTCAATACAAAACATTTGTAAATACCTAATTAAAATTGTACTTTGTAATTTATCCTTTATAAATTAAAATATTTATTCTGTGCTTGTTATGATAAAACAATTTATCAAATAAAATACTTATTTTTTCACTACATCTCCATTTAATAAGTTACATTTTTATTTTTGAAATGTCCTATGATCTTTAATTACCATTAATTATTTACATGTTCTTTCTATTTAATAACTTTAAGATATGTACTCTAAATATAATTTGAACTTAAAATATAAAAATTATATAATTAATCTACAAATTATTTATTTAGTACTTACAAATCAATCGAAATAATATATGTAAAAAGAAGGTATAACAATTATTCAGCTGTTAACACAATATTTGAAAATATATTGAACATCAATAAAATTAACAGCTATGTATGCTTCCATAAATTTATTTGATATAAATGTACTTCTGATATTTTTAAATTTATTATCAAACCAAGTTTTTAATGTTTACCTATAATAAGAGCTAAAATTAAAACCTAATTTTAAACTTGTGAAATAAATTAGAAAAGCCAATGGATTTATTGATCCCATGGTCAGTGTTTTGGCATAATAAATTGGCAAAATGAAAGTAGTGGTTCTTTGTTTAATACCATTTTTTTCCAATTTTCCATAATATCTCTGTAACTTCCTTAATTTTATTTATCTTGAGTAATTTTTCAATTTAAATTTCTCTTATTATTTAAAAAAAAGAAAAATTAAACAATGTTTTATTAATTTAAGCTATTTTATTTACTTAACAGAAGTAAAGAGAAAAAAAATGTCTTCATTAATAATTTTGAGAAATAGTTACAATACTTAGTTCCTCTAACTTTACTACTGTTCTTGGTTATATTCATTACATTACTCTATTTCATCAAAAAAGTTATAAAATCTAAAAAAAAATACAAATAAAAGTAGGCCTTATAACTTAGTGTTTATCAAGTAATTCATTATCCATTAATATTTTTGTGTATCATACAAATATACATTTTATACATATATAATTTTTTTATGTATTTCAGATTAAAGAAATGGGAGAATTAGGTTTAATGGCAATTGACATCCCAGAATCGTTAGGTGGTACTGGTCTTGATTATTTAGCATATGCTATAGCCATTGAAGAAATTTCTAGGTATATTAATTTTATCATTATTGGGATTTTAATTTTTTATTACATATTATTTAAAATATATTTGTATTTTGTTTTAGAGGTTGTGCATCAGCTGGAGTAATTATGAGTGTAAATAATTCTTTGTATCTTGGTCCCATAAATAAATTTGGTAATGATAATCAAAAAGAAGATTTTATCAGACCTTTTACAAATGGCGAAAAAATTGGTTGTTTTGGTCTTAGTGAACCAGGTAAATAAAATATTTATTAATTATTACTGAGGATTGATTTTTAGAACTTTTGAAACATATGATTTTTTTTTTTAAATTTAAGGAAAATCAGTTTTAAATTAATATATTTTGTGATAATGCAGTGATTGCTGTGCAGGACACTGCATACTCATAAATATTTAATTAAACAACATAGCATGTTTAATTAGAATTTCAGATATTATTGAGAAGATTAGTAGTTAATAAACAGAACACTTGTATTTGAAATCATTATTAGTTGCAATAATTTATGAACACTTAAAATAATTATTCAAACAGAAATAATGGTTAGCTACTATGGAAAAAGTATTATTATTGTCGATGGCTAAATAATCGTGGTTATGTGGCTTGGTGGTTTGTGGCTTTGTGGTTATGTGGCTGTGACAAAGTCCACGATGAGCACTACTCTGATAAAAAGGGTGAATAGTCAATCTAGAACTATTACTATATTCTGATTAATATTAGGTGCTTTAATCGTATTTATATGAGTTCTACAATGACATTCGTTGGTGTGATATTAATAATACGCTCATTATGTAAATTATGATATTCAGAAAAGAACGGATATAACACGCTATGTTGTATTAGCCTTTTAATCCCTTTATTTTTAAGAATGCATATCCTATTCCACGAATACTATATGCTAATTTTATATATAGGCATAGGTGCAATTTGGGGGGAGCTTGGGTGTGCTTAGCACCCCTATTTTCAAAATTAGCACCCCCAAAATGTGTTTATGTTAATTTACATTCAAATACTCATTACTCATTATTTATAAGAAAACATAATAGTTTTTGAGTTTTTTTGTATAAATATATAAATTTTTATACAATACGAAAATATTTTGCAATACGAAAAAAAATATCTTTGCTATAGGGTAAAAGTTTCAAGTTTCTAGACATATTACTTTTGGAATTATGACTAAATAACTAAAATTTGAAATGTGAGTCTTATTTACAGCGTATTTTTATTAATTCAGGACAGTTTTTTCTTCACGTCTAGAAAAACTATTATGATTTAAAAAAATGATCTATTTAAAGTACCACCGCATGCCAATTTAAAATCTAAAAAAGTCCTAGAAAAAACTTTTGGACCAGTATTTCTATCCGAAAAAGTGTTAAACAAATAAAATACAAACATCATTATAAAACCTTAATATCCTTCAGTCAAAATCTAAAAGTGATCATGTGATAAAACATTTGTGTTTACAGTTAGGTAATTCGTTGTATGCGCAATAAAAATATAAAATTAAAGTGAACAATTTAAATTTAGAAATATTCATGTATTTACCAAATATTTTAGTAACTGTTGAATTGTACGGTTTGCGGGTGTTTATAACCATTAAGGAACATGAAAAAGATAGAAGGGCTTCAACACCCCTAGTTTTTTCATTGAAATTGCGCCCCTGTATTTAGGTATTCCCACAGATATACATATAATACAATATAATAATATAATATGTTGTAATATATATCTGTGGGTATTCCATCAATAGATAGCAGTTAATTGATGGCGCGTAAATTGATCACCTGCGACTATGCATAGAATCAGAGACATTCCCCAAAGGCGTTTGTAGTGGGAGGGGGGGCAAGTAGGGAACCAGGGACTTTATGCGCTTAAAATCTTAAAAATAAGCGCATAAATATGCACCAAAAAATATAAAAATATGCGCTTTATATGCATTAATTTTTAATTAAAAAAGACTTACTAATACAAATTTAATTAAAAAAAAAAAAACATATCTTGCACATACAATTCCGAAATGAAACCACTCAAGCAACTAATTTGTGATTGTTTTTCTTTCGGTATATTTATTTATTTATTAATTTAAGAAAATTATACCATGAATACGAGCACTAATAAATGAATAGACACAAGCCACAAAAAAAAAAAATACGAACACGAAGACAAACACGACAAAATACGTAGTAACTAGTGCTGAGCACCAAATCCGGATCAATCCATATCCAGATTACCGATCCGGATTGAAACAAATGTTACAATCCGTTTAATCCGGATTATGATATAAATCCGGTTTATTTCAAATTTACTGTATATAAATTATAAATAACATTAATATATATAAACATTTGGTGAAAATTTCTAGTATTTAATCTTGTTATCTTCATGGGTTATTCTATTATCGCGTGTATTGTTACTGTTCAGAAGTGCTATAAATAATTATTGTGTTGCGTTCTACGGTGTTATCCGATATCAATTGTACTTTTATTAATATTTAATAACAGGCATGAGGGTAATGTTATTTATTTTTAGTACTCACTGTTCTGTAGTCTGTAGTTTGTTGTAATCTGTACTCGATAGTCGATAGTTACTAGTTACTACTTACAAGTTACAGCTCAGTAATATTGTTATTACGTTAATACTTACTACTTAGTACGTATTGCGTATCGACGTATCGTATCGTAATTTGTATTGCATCATTTATATTTTATTACTAAACTGTTGATAGTTTATCCTTTACCTATTAAAAACAATGAAGCCGGATTGGATCCGGAATCCGAATCAAGTGATTGGATCCGAAATCCGAATCAACGGATTGGATCCGAAATCCGAATCAACGGATTGAATCCGTGAATCCGAATAAAACGGATTGATCCGAAATCCGGATTAAATAATTGTAATCCGTAATCCGGATTGGTTAAAATAATGCTCAGCACTAGTAGTAACGCAGTAACAAGAAAACGATAATCGTCCGTAGTTTGTCGATTACTGAGTACTGGCAAACAAAATAATACTTTGAAAAACATAAATAAAAATAAAATTGTCTTCAGAGCTAAAAATAAAATGGGTTCCTCGAATAAAATAAGCGAAATAAGTCTATTGAGTATCGCCCTATCAGCATTATTATAGACGAATTCATGTAGATAAAATTGATTTAGAATGAATAATGTATCAGCGCGTTTAGTTTTCTAAATAACATTTATATAACGTGTCAAAAATGAAAATTTTAAATTAATATTTTTAATTAACGAGTAAATTATCAACAATTATTTTAAAATATGCAGTTTAAATCAATAAATCTCAAAAATATGCAATTGAAGAAAAAAAATCCAAAATATGCAAAAATATGCACAATAAACTTTTAAAATTCAACTCCAAACACCATAATACAAATTTGTACCATATCAGATTTATTCTATTTATTTCCCGAACGAATATGCAAATGCATAAAGTTCCGAGCCCTGTCTATAACCGTAGCAATATCCATAGAAGATAATACTACTATCCGTTCCACAACCAAAAATGTTATGATATAAGAAGATAAACAAAAATTGATACCCGCGATCAAATTTACATATTATTGAATTTATTATCATATAGTAATAGACTAGTAATTTATATTTTTAATTATTTATACATCACATTTTTTTAACGACATTCGTGTTGATATCAACATTGTTCAACATAATCAGGGGCGTATTTAGATAGGGGCCATGGATCCCGTTGCCCAGAGCGGCACATTTTTAAAGATTTAGAGGGGCGGACAATTTTTATTTCGTACTTTACACAATGATACAACTTACGCAAATGATTTAGCAATATGTTTTCTAAATGAGTGTGTACAATTTTAAGGCTATATAAAAAATATTGAAGTTAAGCTTACAAAAATACAGATGTTACAGTTTATAAGAGAACATAATTTTAATAGTGTTTATCTTTATACTGGAGTAGCTTTACATATTTTTTTTGTATACACCATCCACAAATTATAGTGTAGAGCGTTCTTTTTGCACACTAAAAAGAATAAAAAACTATTTTCGCTCTATAATGGCACAAGACCGGTTTTTGGCTTTAGCGGTATTAACAATTGAAGCTGAAAAAACCACTTTATTAGATTTTGAAGAAATAATTAATGATTTTGTTAGTTCTGAATCAAGGAAGAAAAATATTTAAATTTTGTATTAATATTGTATATCTAGCAATTAATAGAGGTTTTAAAAAATAATATTAATTAGTAACAACATTTTATTTTTTGACTGGAAGGGGGGGGGCAAAATATGTGTTGCCCTTACCTTGAAATTCCTAAATACGCCACTGAACATAATAACAATTAGTTTTGATTACGTAGTTCATCATGATTGCTGGACGGTATAAATTAGTGGTGGGCAACGATATCGATAATTCGATACGATATCGATATCGTGACACATTTTCGACACCGATATCGTTCTATAATTGGATGATATATCGCGATATCGAAAATAATGTTTTTCAAGAAAAATACATGGTATTTAGTAAATACTATTTACTATTTGTAGGTTTAAAACTATAATAAATAATAATAGCTGTCAGCTGATAACGTTTGGTGCTCGTATTCCGGTGAAATGTCAATTATTGTACACTAATAATAATCCATTATAATGTTATCTAAAAAGGAATATTTTGCTGACTTTTAAGAGGAACACGGTATAGCTATTAGCTAGTGTTGGGCAACGATATAATTTTGTGTATAGATATCGTTAAGATTTTTCCGTAATACACAGTGTAATTTGTGTCGTCGGTGCGAACATTTTTCGAACATTTCTGACATTTATCGTACAGTGACAATTATTTTATTGTGATATAGTACAGTGATATTTATTAATTTCAAATAATTATTACAACATTATTTTTAGTGATGAGTGAACTGAAATTTGTTCCTCTACCTGGGGCTAGGAGTGAAATTTGGAAAACATTTGGTTTTAAAATAAATGATAGTGGTATTATAATAGATAAAAAAAAAGTATTCTGTCGAGCATGTAAGAGTTCAATTGCTTATAGTGGAAATACATCAAATTTAAATTCACATTTACAACAGTGTTTAAGTGTGAAACCAAAAAATAACACTAGCAGTATTGCGACATATTTCAAAGGACCAACAGCGAAATTACCTCTGAACAGTAAAAGAAACAAGGAACTTACAAAGGGTTTGATTAAGTTTATTGTTAAAGATTTAAGGCCCTTGAGTTTAGTAGGAGGAGATGGCTTTCGTGAATTTTTGGATTTAGGCATTCCCGAGTACAATGCACCTAGTAGACGAACAATATCACGGTTAATTGATCATGCAGCACTTTTGGAAAGGAATAATTTTAAGAAGTATTTATCAAATATTTCTTATATTAGTTTGACCATCGATTTTTGGACTTCCGATTCAAATAACAGTTATTTAGGTGTAACTTGTCATTTTATTGACAGCTGGTCCTTACATTCACGAGTTTTGGAAGTCATCGAAGTACCTGAATCACACACTTTTATAAATATAGTAAGCAATTTAAAATCCGTTCTTAAGACCTGGGATATTGAAAATAAAGTAGTGGCTTTTGTTTGTAATAATGCTGCGAATATGGTTAAAGCGATTAATGATATGGATAAATTTAATCTGGTAAGGTGCACAGCTCATTCAATTCAACTATCTGTAAATGCTGGTCTTAAAAATGATGTTACCAAGGAATTGATTAATAAGTTAAGAAAGATAGTTGTATACTTTAATAGAAGTTCGTTAGCTCAAAGTGAATTAGAAAAGGAACAAGTTAAATATGGAGAACCACAAAATAAATTAGTGCAAGATTGTGTCACAAGATGGAACTCTACATGCAATATGATAGAAAGTGTAATAAAACATAGATAATCAATTCCGTCATATCTAAAAATAAGAAAACTGACGAATGGTTCATTACATCAGCAGAAGTACAAAATTTAAAAGATTTGGTTAAAGTTTTAGAGCCTTTTAAGTCTGTAACTAATACACTCGGCGGAGACAAATACGTAACGACTTCCGTAGCAAACCGTTTGATCAAAAGTCTTCTTAATACAGTTCAAACGTGTGAAACCGATTCTAACTTTATAAAGACAGTTAAATTGAGTATACTACAAGACTTGAAAATTAGACGAGAAATGATGAGCCCAGTTTTATCTAAAGCAGCTGCGTTAGATCCTAGATTTCACGAACTAAAATTCATATCCGATGAGCAAAAAACTTTGATTTGGGAAGAACTTGAAACTGAAATTTGTGAAATAAATCCACAGAGCCAGGAAATTATAAATGATCAAAATAAAGCAAATGAAATAGAAAATGTTATTAGCTCGGATGAAGATAATCCACCTCCCAAAAAAATGCGTTCATTAATGGCTGATAGCGATGATGAAGACGAATATTCGATTGGTTTTGAAACTCTGATGACAGCATCAAGGCAACTACAAAACTACAAGAATATGACTACAAAATGTCATCGAGATGAAGATCCACTTAAATGGTGGAAAGAAAATTCAAATTTATATCCAGAAGTTTCAAAATTAGCAAAAAAATACTTGTCGATAGTCGCGACTAGTGTCCCATGTGAACGTCTGTTTAGTGAGGCTGGCAATATAACTTCAAAGAAAAGAAGTAGTCTATCTCCAGACCGAGTTAACAATCTTCTCTTTTTGAACTCTTATTATAAATCCACTAAGACATCAGACCACACTTTGGTAAGAACATACATTTAAATTCAAGATAATATTAAATTATTAAAATAATTATGAATTTATTTTCTAGGATGCAGCTATCGGGTTTGAACTTTGAACAGGGCCGGCGCAAGAAGTATTGGCGCCCTGGGCGAAACCATGTTTTGGCGCCCTTACCCCCTCACACCTAGTTTGAGTAGTAATAAAATTAGTATGTATTTTGTATCATAATTTTAAACTTTATTACCTGATCGTATACCATTGTAATAAGATTACACATATTATATTATTAACGTATAAAATTGCCGCATTCCGTAAAATAAAAAATAAAAAAAAAAATAAAAATATTAATTTTAAACTTATAACTATAATTAATATTAAAACTTAACTTTTCTAGCTTTTAATTCAGAAAACTGTTTGATTGCTTCTTCATAGTTTACTTTTTGGGCTAAATCATTTTCAATTGACAAAATTACTAACAAAGAAAGTCTATCATCTGTCATCGAGGAGCGCAAATAAGTTTTTATTAATTTCAGTTTAGAAAAACTTCGTTCACCTGATGCTACAGTAACTGGAATCGTCAGCAATATTCTTAGAGATATCCATGTGTAAGGGAATATATCAACTAATTTCATATCGTGTATAAACTGGAGCGCTGATTTGGGGGATCCTTTGCCAATTGGTAAAAGTGAACTCAGATGTTTAAGTTCACTGTAAAGCTCTACGGAATTTATATCAGCACTATCTCTTTCCGAGAGTGCTCCATGCAGATCTTTACAGCATGCCAAAAGATATTCAGAAGATGGTAATATTGTACAGAAACCCCCATAACTGCTTATGATTTTCAAATTGAGTAAATCTTTCTTTTATAGATTCTCTGACTGTGTCTACAAGAGTGTAGAAAAATTCTCTTTTAAAACGTTCTTCAGCGCTAATCAAAAAATCTTGATCGGTGTTTTCATCAAAAAAAGTTTTTTTACGTCTTACTCGTACTTCTTTTATAATTGGGTCTATACCTAATGACTCTGCTATTTCTCTTGAAGAGTTTGACGCATCTGCGTACCCTGTTTCTCGATACTTGTTAATTTATTTGACACAATTATCTAATAATGAAGACGCCATTTCTATATCCATTGTAAACCCTTGCATAGATTTACTTACAATATTTACTTGAAATAATAAATTATACCAAACATTTAATAAAATCAATACCTTGAAGTCAAGTAATTGATTGCCTAAACTGCTTGCTTCATTCCTTGTACCAGCATCTGCCTTAGATGATTCCGCAACTTCAATTAATGCATCGTATACTTCTTTTGTTTGATATCGAATTGCTTTTACACTGTCTATGCGACTCTCCCAACGGGTTGTACACAATGGTTTAACCGTCAAGTTAGGTAAGTGTGATTTTAGTACTTGCCAACGGTAAACAGAAGCCGAAAATAAAACAAATATCTGTTGTACAATTCCAAAAAGAGTGATAGATTCTTTGGATTGCGAGGCTGCGTCAGATATAACGAGATTAAGAGAATGACAACCACAGGGCATAAATGCCGCTTTAGGGTTTAAAGCTAAAATTCTTGCTTGAACACCTTTTTTATGACCTTTCATATTCGCGCCATTATCGTAACCCTGACCACGACAGTTCATTATATCAAGATTGTTTTCTTTTAGCGTCTTAAGCAATAACTAAGTAAGGCTTTCTCCAGTAGATTCACTAACTTCTCTAAAACCAATAAAATGCTCAGCTACTTGTAAATTGCCATTATTTTCGTCCACAAATCTTATAGTAAATGACATTTTTTCATAATGGCTGACATCAGGAGTACAATCTAATATCACAGAAAAATATTTTGCGACTTGTACTTTTTGCTGAATGATTTCTAAAACTTTGGAGGCCATTAGATTTATAAGTTCATTTTGAATATCCTTACTGTAATAAGTTAGATTGAGTTTTTGTGTAGTTATTCGATTTAAATGTTCTTTCATTTTATTGTCATATTTTCCTAAAAGTTCTACTAACCCCAAATAGTTTCCATTATTTCTTTCAAATAGTTTATCAGACGATCCTCGAAAAGCTAGATTGTGTTTGGATAAGTATAAAGTTATAGATATTAACCTTTCTAAAATACTTTTCCAATATTGAACTTCTGTATTCATTACTCGTTGCAGGTCATTATCAATACATCTACCAAGGTTTAATTTTAATTCACATTCGTGCCACTTTTTGTATGCAGTAAAATGCTCAGGTGATTTTTCATGAGAAATAAGTATTGTTGTCATATGTTTCCAGTCATTATTGCCTGTTGTGGATAGTGTACTATGAGAACTATTAAAAAGTTTGCAACAAAAACAAAACACCCGATCAATGCTTTTAGAATATACAAGCCATCGTCTTTTAAATTTTTCATTGTTGTCTAATTTTCTTATTTGGTAAATTTTAGAAAAATGACGATTATTTTCATCTTTGGGAAAAATGTCTTCGTTTATTTCACGTGGTCCCATTTTAATAACTATGTCTATTAAGTTATTCTGTCTGTTATCTGGCCATAAATATGGGTCGAATAAATCAGGTTGAGAAATAAATGCAACAGATTTTGAAACATCGGTTACCGGTTTATCGCTCATCTCAACTGTTTTGTTCACAAATGCACTTTTATTACTATTAATGTCAATATCAAAATTATTATCATCACAAGGAAAATATGTTAAAGTAGGAGAGGTCAACGTTTCTTCATTATTATGTTTAACATGAGTCTTAGAAATATTTTCATATATAC